CTGAACTCACTAAGCGCTTTTGTAAATCGGACCTAAATATCAAACTAGTTTTCACTTCTTTCAAAATTAAAAACATGTTCAGTGTTAAAGATCGTACTCCTGATGCTCTAAAATCCATGGTAGTTTATCAATTTTCTTGTGCGGGATGTAATTCCCGTTATATTGGCGAAACTAGTCGCCACTTCTCTACTAGGATAAAGGAGCACACGGAAAGCGATAAAAACTCGCATATTTTTAAGCATTTTAACACATCTCCTTCTTGTAAGAACAAATACTCCCTTTCTTGCTTTAGTATTCTGGATTCTGCCAACAACTCAATTGATTTAAAACTCAAAGAAGCTTTTTATATAAATAAGATCAAACCTGAACTTAACAAACAGTTACAGCATTATAACACTTTTCTAGCATTTTAGTTCACACCTTTAATTTCATGTTTGTTGTCACGCTGTAATTAGTACCCGCTTTTGTATTACCATCATACTGTAAATATTTTATTCATCTTCTTGTCTGTTGTAGAATTACTCACGTTCAGTTACTCATTGATTGAAGATGGCATAAGCATGCCGAAACATGTCTCTGAAAAAAGTTGTATATTTCTTACAACATTTCATTTGTCCTGTTGGAAAAAAGAAACTCGCTCCAGCGAATGAACAGCAAATTAAAATGTTTGGAATTTTTCCAAACATGTTCCAATTACGTCTCCTCTCTGCAGAAGATGTTCTATAGTTATTCATTTTGACGAATCATATCTCAGTGGGACGTTTTTCCTTATGTCACCTGCCAGGAGCCCATTATGGGCTCCTGCACGAGCATCATATTGTTTTTGTTTTTCTTTTTTGGCACAAATTGAAAGAAATACTTAGAAAATGTCTTTTTTGAAGATTACTTTCCATTTTGAGCAAAAGTGCATACGTTTGGGACTTTTTACGCGCAAGCCCTGGAATCAAGTTGCGCGCCATGTCCCGTTCGGTCATATACCCTCCCCTGTCCCACCCACAAATTTGTTAATTTGTACGTGCCAAATATGGGTCACACTGTGTCACGTGATAACGTGTTTTGACGTACTCGATTAAGTACAGAAACGAAAATGGCGAATCGATCTAAAGCTTCCGAGCAGCTCAGTGATTTTTCCCGGGCCAAAAAGGTAAAATGTTTTCTAGGGTTACATGCCCTCTGCGGTTGTCCTTGTGTAGTAAATGCAAACGTGTCTTCCCCAAATCATTAACTTTTTTAGTCAGCAATGGGAGTATGTTACAATTTCCACCAATTTTCTCGCAGAAACTAGGCCTGATCTGATCATTCCCAGGATTTTATTGCGTAAGCAGATATTTCCTACTCAATAATTTGGATATATCAACAAAGTTGAAATGGTAAATTGGCCACCGTAATGATTACAAAAGCTGACGTTTCGAGCGTTAGTCATTCGTCGGAGCGAAACATTACTTCACCCCCCTATTTATACTCTGTTCGCATCGACTGATCCTCCCTTAGTTCCCTCTGAAAACTGTCTGATCCCCTAAACATTACTTCACTCCTCTATTTATACTCTGTTCGCGTCGACTGATCTCTCTAAGGCCCAGTTTATACGTTGCGCTACAGTCGAATTTAAATCAGACGAATTTAATTCCATTAAATTCGTCGTTCCGTCGACGTAAATCGTGGCATGGTTTCATCCGTCGAAATCAATACGATCGAATTTAATTCTCTTCCCAAATGCGGTGCTTCTGGTCAGAGGTGTCATTTTGAAATAAATTGAAATACATAAAGAAAATGTATGCATTTCATTTTAATGATTACATTTTACATTTTATATATTCTAGTTCTTAATTCTTAATTTATTTAAATTTATATACCTTCACAAGGCTTTATAATTTCCTTTTTTCTTTTTATTTCGTGGCGTACCTGTAAACTAGCTTTTAGCTAAGCGTTCTGACCACATTAAATAAATTGATTCATTGATTGATTGATTTCATTCAACGCGATTCTAGTGCGACGTTAAAACTGAAGACGCGTTATCGATATTTTATCCGTCTTACTAAGATGGATAAAACGTCAAGGATGAATTTAATTTACCAGACGAATTTAATTCGTTTTAGACATCGCGCTATCGTCAAATTTAATTACTTGTGGGACCTTGAATTAAATTCGTCTGAATTAAATTCGACTGTAGCGCATTGTATAAACTAGGCCTAAGTAATGCTTATGTACATGAACGTATTACCCAATTCAATGTGACATTCTTGACTATTGTTTGCTTAGAAAGGGAAACGTGAGCTATTGAGCGTGTGATGTCGTGCATGTATCACTCGTTACTCACCTTGCATGCTTAATTAAAGAATAGAGCACAGTTGAGGCTATTTTTTTTTTTTTCACTAACAGTCAAATAAATATTTTGATATATGTCTCTTGAGTGTAACAAACAAGTTTCCACATGCTACATACAGCTGTGTATAAGAAGCTCAAACAAAAACCGTGCATGCAGGCATGGCTCTGGTTAAAGTCGTCCTGAACCCTGTGACCCCAAGCAGTGACCAGCATCTAATTTCTCCTTACAATATCACCCCCAAATCACACATTGAGGTCTTGAGAATAAAGGAAGTTATCACCTACTGAAAAATAAGAAACGCTTGATTGTTAGACAAAATTGTTTTGTCAGCACCTTAGGAAATGTACAGAGAACAGTTTGGGGCAAGATTCCCTTATAACCCTGTACTTTATTAAGCATGCAATTCTTGGATAAAAGAAAGCAGAGGCAAAACAACAAATTACCTTTGGGATTACGGCTTTTTTTTTTTATTGGTATGGGCTCATACGGAAATCTTTCCCAGTTTGGAGAATATGCATACTGATGTTAAAGTGCATAGGGTCAAACATGGCTTAAAAAAGGTTTGATGATTATTTTAAAAAGTCTCTCTTATTCATGACAAGTCTCCAGATGTTCTCACTACTGGAACTGGGTGTCCAATTGACACAAAGACATCCACCATGACAGTTGGGGCCAGGGGACCCATCCTGCTGCAGGATGTACATTTTCTGGATGAAATGAGCCACTTTGACAGAGAAAGAATCCCAGAGAGAGTGGTGCATGCCAAGGGTGGTGGCGCATTTGGATACTTTGAGGTCACACATGACATCAGCAAATACTGCAAGGCTGCAATCTTTAATAGAATTGGAAAAAGCACGCCTTGTGTTGCTCGATTTTCAACAGTAGGTCTGTAGAGCATTTTGTTTAAGCTAAATCATGCTATACTGTGTTTAAGAACCTTTTGGTGAAAGTTTGTTCATACAATTGCCAAATGTGTTTTTCTGCACATTTTGTTTCTATGGATGTACATGTCTGTGGAGGGAGGTATTGTTCAATATTTGTGCAGTTTTGGTAAAAATATACACTGAATACAGTCTTGAACCTCCATTAACGGACTCCTCTGTACAACCAACTACATATAATTAAGGTTGCTCTTAGAGTTGACACTTGATAGCCATATTGTCCTCTAGACAAAATGAAATCTCAGCAATACTATTATTACAGTGGTAGAAGTTGTGCAAAGTGACTAACCATTGTGGACTGTTTAATCTGTTCAAGATCTGTCTGCTCTTGACCCTTGAACTCCCATTAGTGACCAAGACAGAATTTCTCCTTAAAATATCATTACAATATCAAGCATACAAGTGGTGACAATAAAGAAAGATGTCAAATAGGGGATTATTAGAGGATCTAATACCAAATTCTCCCAACTAATGTTCATCATGAGGATTTCATGATAGAGTGTAAGAAGAATTATTAATGATATCTTGGAATTAACCCTTGAACTACCTTCAATGACCAAGACAGAATTTCTCCTTACAGTATCAAAACAAATTATATCAAGCAGACAAGTGACCAAAATGACAAAAAATAGTACGTCAGGGGATTATGAGTTGATCCAATACTAAATTCTCCAAGCCAACATCATAAGAATTGTATAACAGACAGTAAGGAGAATTACTACTAAGATCTTGGAAGTGAAAGGGTTAAAAGAGTTCTATAAATGTTAAGTGTTTTGTCATATTAATTTCTTAGTGGACTTGTTTGTATTTGTCACTTCATTTATATATTATTAATTTTTGTAGCTTACTGCCTCTAAAATAGGCATAAGCTACTATGCTGTCCTGTTGAGTGACTGTAACAATAGAATCTGAGTGAGGGTAACAATAGAATCCGAGCCCACAACCAACTCTGCAGATTTTGATCCGATTTTCCCCGATCTTAACTCCCTTTTGTATCTACAAACTTCTGTGAAGTCGTAGATACTACGCTATCTAGAGTGTAAGTCCGTCCGTATGTCTGTAACAATAGAAACCTTCTAGAATGCTTGGATTTCTGGTCATCAAGAAATTTTTTTTCAAGCAATCTGCTATTTTTTTCCGTTCTAAATGCTCTTTTTCTTCTGTTACATTTGGGCTGCATGAATTTTTTTCTTCCAACAACCGCTTACAGGAAGTTTTTTTTCAAAATCGCCCACTCCCCCACTCAAGAGTTAAATGGTCGGCCCCTTAGTATGAAACACATAGAATGATGGCCTTTTAGTACCCCCTGACGCCATCAAAATATTTGTGTAAATGACGGATTCTTCTTGGTTCGTTGAACTCCTAGTCCTAACCATGAGGGAAGGTTGGGGAAGGGAGGTAGGGGCGGTTACGGGTGGTTCAGGTGTCAGTGTGTTAGCATAATATAACAATATATTTGTTTCCGTTCATTGCGGAGCTTAAATTTGTGGTTGCACTATATCTTGAGTTGTGAGTAATTTCTAGTGTCGTTTCAGGGCGGTTAAATACGGTATTCTAAGTAATAACAGGTGCAGTAAGCTACATGCAGTCATTGACTGCCTATTTTTTATTATGCTACCTTTAGGTGGTGAGTCTGGCAGTGCTGACACAGCTCGTGACCCCCGTGGCTTTGCTATGAAGTTTTACACTGAAGAGGGAAACTGGGATCTTGTTGGAAACAATACTCCTATCTTCTTTATCAGAGATCCAATCCTGGTATGCATTTTTGTGTTCACACTAAATATCAAGTATTGTACTGTTAACAATCCAGAACAGACAGGAAGAGGGAATATTGAAGTGTACAATTCTGGTTAAGAATAAACACAGCTAAACCAGGTCAAATTGAGTTATTACAACTGAAAGATGCCTGTAGGTGTTTTGCTTCTAAGAGTAATTGAAGGAATTTTTTTGGTGAGTTCAGTAGGCTACTTGGTTACAATGCATGCTTTTCTTAAACTGTACTTCCCTTGTTCATGTCTGAGTTTTGTATTTATTTGATTATAGTTTCCCAGTTTTATTCATACCCAGAAAAGGAACCCCACTACTCACCTGAAGGTAAAAATAGTGTTAATTAATGTGTCATACTTTTGTTGTTACGTGATTTAAAAAATATGTTTTGAATTTGTGTACTTTGTGCTTTAGTGAAATTTTAGCCTGCTCTTTGATTCTTGATTTTATTTCCAAACTTGTTTTTTTTTGTTGTTGTTTTTATTAGGACCCTGACATGTTCTGGGATTTCATCACCCTGCGTCCTGAGACCACCCACCAAGTGTGTTTCCTGTTTAGTGATCGCGGTATTCCTGATGGCTACCAGCAAATGAATGGTTATGGAAGTCATACTTTCAAAATGGTTAATGAGAAGGGAGAAGCTGTTTATTGCAAGTTCCATGTCAAGGTACAGCTGCCTGAGCGGTCATACTTTTTACTGAAGAAAAATACAGTCTAGTATGTTTGTAAGCCTGTTGCATTGTTTTACATATCCATATCCTCTTGATTCACATCTTTCGGGGCTTATTTTTAATTTTACAGTATTCCTAAATTCTGCTCAGTTGAGATGTAAGAATATATCTGATTTGTTTATTTATTACGGCAGACTGATCAGGGGATCAAGTGTGTGCCTGCAGACAAAGCAGAGCAGCTAGCAGGTTCTGACCCAGACTACAACAACAGACTTCTTTACAACGCCATTGCCGGTGGAAACCCAGTAAGTACACTGCCTTGGGCCTCTGTTATCCAGGGACCCAACATTTGTTTAGTAAGCAATCTTTGCCCATTTATACATCTCGAGACTAAGTGTGACAAGTTTCATACATATGTTCGTGTTTTAGATTAAAAAATTGTGTGTGATACTTGTATCTACAATGTATCTGTCACATTTAACTACAAATGAAAATACTTTTTGGTGATGTAGGTCATTATCTAAAAAGTGTTGCACCATTCTTATTTGTTAAAAGATGATGTTGTAACTTGAGTCAAACAGTTTACCTTGATGAGAGCACTCTCACATGTACCAGTATATAAATTTTATTTCTTTTGCCCAAACTAACACATACATATATACATTTGTTCCAGCCATCGTGGACCATGTACATTCAAGTTATGACCTTTGAAGAAGCCGAAAAATTTCGCTGGAACCCATTTGATCTTACTAAGGTTTGATAGCTCTAACTTCCCTTACCAACTGTCTCAAATGCTTGTTACATGTTCTCACACTATCCTGTTCTTGATTATTAGATCTGGCCGCATTCTGAGTTCCCTCTCATCCCAGTTGGCAAAATGGTACTGAATCGTAATGCAAAGAACTACTTTGCAGAGATAGAGCAGAGTGCTTTTAACCCAGCTAGTATGGTTCCTGGTATTGAGCCTTCCCCAGATAAGATGCTTCAGGTATGAATGACATGTAACAGATTAAAACTTGATACCTCGGCATTACATACATGCAAGATTCTTAAATGCTCTACATGTATGGTTGACCACAAAATATTGTGATTTGCTTTATGTCAAGGGAGATTTTCTTGAAAGATGAAGTTTCTCAAGTCTGTTGGCTCACAACTGCGGAAGGGCATCCTGCAGTTTCCAAAGCACAAAGTAACATGGGATGTTGCTCCATACTCTTTGTGCATGAAATGTCAATGTCCACGTACATCCTCCAACCACAATCCAAGAACATGCCCCTTAGATTTCTCCTAACGTTTGCAACATGGTGAACGGCAGCATGTAACACATAATATTCATTAATGCATCTTCAACTGTGTAGTTTGTTTGATGCTGAAAAAGGCCATTAATTTCTATAATAGGTCAGTGGCTCTCAAACTAATTAAAGGGAAGTGTCCTCAGGGCTTGACACTAACTTTACAACTTACTAGCCAAGTGGCTTGTGACAACTCAAATGTTACAACAATTTCAGTTTGTTTACTAGCCAAACTGGCCGGTGGAAATTGAAAACCACTAGCTAAAACTGAATTTTTGCTAGTCTGTGGCTAGTTGGCTACCGTAAGTGTTGAGCCCTGGTCCTTATTAAGGATACAATTCATGTAGGAGTTACAGAAGTGCTTGTCAGAGATTTGTTAGAAGCCAGCCATTAAAGAGTGCCATACCTGGAGAACTTGTTTGTATGTATTGCATTTGAGCAGTGCTTGCAGACATACATGCATGTCCATATATTTCACATCTCACATGAAGTAAGTGTATGGGTATTATTTTTTCCTCTTGCTAGGGCCGCCTGTTTTCCTATCATGACACTCATCTGCATCGTTTGGGAACTAACTACTTACAACTTCCAGTGAACTGTCCGTACAGGACAAGGGTTACAAACTACCAGAGGGATGGACCACAGACTTTTGATAACCAAGGTAAAATAACAAGCTGAAAGCCTGCATTGAGATAAGTGAGTCACACAACTTCAGCCTGGCCTTCAGACTATCAAATTTGCTTCTCATACATTTCTCAGTTGCATTTATTTTTGCACAATGGTTAGTAAGTTACTGTCAGCAGCAAGATGAAATTATTAAGAATACAATGTTTAGTGTTAATTGTGGGGTAAAGTATTTAGAGCAGTCTGCCAATTTTGTCATTTGATGGTACTTGTTGGTGTTGCCGTTAACTTTGTTTCTGATGATTTCTTTTGTTCCAGAGGGTACTCCAAACTACTTTCCAAACAGCTTCACTGGGCCTTTGGATGACTTGAGGTACTCACCACACACAGTCAAGGTAAGTGTCTACATGGACAGAAGTCCATTTCAATGTTTCTAAGGCAGTGAGTTGTTATTTTTTAATTGATAGTCTCTAGGCACAATTCATGAAGTTGATAAATAATGTTTTTGTTTTATCCTAGATCACTGGTGATGTGGCTCGATACAACTCTGCAGATGATGATAACTTTTCACAGGTTGAACGTTTTTTTAATATGTAAAGGAGATATATTTGTTCTCTATACAGCTAATTTAATGTTGAACACTTGGGGTTTCACCTTTGTATAACAAAACCCCATTCTGAACCATCTTGAATTTAGCTGGATCTTTTATCTTGATGTTTATTTTTGTGAACAGTGTCAAGAGGGCTGAAAGCAACCAATGGAAAGATATTTATCTAATGAAAGCAAACCTCTTATAGAGAATGCATACGGCCCACTGCTTGCACAAAATTGCAGTTTGGGTTGGACGTTGTATAAATTACCAGTCAAAAGTGATTGATTTGAGGTTTTGAGGAATATTGAGAAAAGTGATTTGATAGGATTAAGAAAGCCAAATGCATCTAAGATTGCCTTGTATTAAAACATGATGTACTTGTACCTGTATGAGATTTTGGTACAGTGCAGTGAAATCCCAGCATATTGTAAAGTTCATGGACAATTACAGGCTGTAATGTGCCAACTTGATAAAGGCATGACAACTACATCTTGAGGGGATGGATGGGCTTGGTGCTTAGAAAATTGCAGTTGAAACGCGATGAAATTGTACAGGTTCACATGGAGAGAATACCGGTATATTCTTATCAGTGTCTCGCAAAGGGGATGTGCCTTGATGATGTAGTGGAAATACAATATCTTTATTGAGAAGTCATGCAATGTACATTAGCTGTAATTTTTTTTCAAATGTCAGTCCAGAACAATTTATATTTTTTGGCCTCTCTTCAGGTCACAGATTTCTGGAACAAAGTTTTGAATGAAGCAGAGAGAACTAGGCTGGTGAATAATATTGCTGGTCACCTGAAAGATGCTAAACAATTTCTTCAAAAACGAGCTGTAAGTACATTGTAGAATGCAGTGATAGTTTGAAAGTATTCTTTGATATATGTGCATAAAGAGACCAAATATGGTCGTAAAATTTAATGATTGTGGATTGCCTTTTGATAGCGAATATAATGTATTTTTTTAGGTGAGTAATTTTGCTCAAGTTTCTCCTGAGTTTGGTCGCCGACTGACTGAAGCTTTGGCCGAATACCACATGGTTAGTGTCTGTAAAACCTTTTGACCTAAACATCACTATGCATACTTGCGTCACTGTTCTCTATACTTTTCCAAAGGTGCTCACAAGGAGAATTTGTTTAACAATCAAGTGCTTCTTTAGTTGGTGATCATTTCCCTCATTCTTGTGAGCATAAATAGTATGTGATTCGGGGATGATATTGTAAGGAGATTTAAATTGCTAGTCACTCTTTGGGGGTCAAACGGTTTATAATATTGAATAAAGTTATTGATTGCTGTGTCTCGTTGTAAAGTGTGTAATGGTCAGTGTTCAGAACATCAAATCAGCGCCTTTCTCACATACACGATAGGGGAAAAAGGTGCAACGTGTCCTGATTGTCTCATAAATGGACATCTCTGAGACCAGCATAGTGTGTCCATTTTACAAAGATTTCATATAACAAATGAAAAATGCCTGTTCAAAGAATTGGAATCATTTTAAATGACTTCAAGTACTTTTTACCACTAGATTTTTTTGTTTTCATAGTACATGTACATTATGTTTTATCGTTGACGTACGGTAACTTTTGATTTTTCTTGTAGCATAAGGGAGCCACAGCTCAGGCTAGCCTTTAAAACCAAAGTCGAAAGAAGACTGGAGTGCCAGGGAAGATGAGATTACTGAATCATGTGATAATGTCCAACACTTATCAATAATGGGGGCATCCGTTGGGGACAAAGGAACATTGAAAATATACTGATGATTCTTAACTTTACCGAAACGGCATCTGTAAATCAGTTTTACAGTGAGGCAAAGTCTAAAACTGGTAAAAAGTTGATAGTCTATGATGGAATCCTTAAAGTCTGTGGAATCACCTCGCCCAATACACATTTGCTGAAAACCAATTTAAGAATGTTTTAAGCGTGGCGTGGAAGCCTGTTTCATGCTGCCAGACGTATGGTTTTAATTTTATCGTGATTGTGTCCCTACAGTTCATTTTAACTGTGCTATTCAATATCAAATTTGAGTAGTGCTTATTAGTTGTACACCTCTGTTAACACATTTTTCATTTGAATGGGAAATGTCATGAAAATTTTGCAGAAAGTGAGTCAATAAACCTGGATTTGTCAACAACTACCGTTTTCTCGAGTACACCTGAAATCTTTTGAGCAAATTGGTTTCCAAGGGTTACCGTCGAAAAATGGCACTTCGGATGAGATAAGCTAGGTGACAAAAAAATCCTCTTACAGGCTTGCAGCCTTCATCAGCGTATTTTGACGATGAACTGCCTATTCCGATTTCGTTAGTTGCCCCACAAAAGCGGCCCCTCCCTTAAAAACATGATCATGTGACGCGTCAGATTTATTATTTTTTTATTGCCACAGTTGCACCATGATTGAAAGATAGAATAATTGCCATTAATTTTTAGTTGAAATGGTTGGATTAAAAGGCCAGTTCTTAAATGCCTTCCTCAGCGCTAATATTCAACTGGCTGGCTGGGCAACTCTCCTTGATAAAGAGTAATCCGGGCCGATATTCTTTTGGTTTGATGTTGCGTATTTCTGTTTTTCCTTCTCTCCCTTTTTGAAACAAAGTTGATTAGAAACTTGATGTTGATGACTAAAGTAACTAAACCGCGGTAGAAATTATCGAAACGTCGCGTCATTAAATTCACTAAAGTGATTGGGTTTCTTGTCCTGCGCCACGTAGTTATCTTTCGAATACATCCGCGGCCGCCGACGGTTTTCGCTTGAAACTAATAACTCTTAGTAGAGTTACTTTCGAAAGTGTCGTTGAACAGTGGCCAGCGAGCCATCCAATTGGAACGAAAACTCTTCAGGCAACCACAAGAAATCAGATAAGAAGCACACTGTCTAGATGAAGGCATCAACTATTGGAGATTTGGTTTAGTTTCTTACCTATGACACTACAATAGGTCATGAACGGTAATGAATAGAGTGGATACGTACCATAGATTTGATTGGAAACTTGGTTCTCCCTTAAAGGGTTGAACAGTTGTATTTAAGTACAAGGAGAATTTGGATATTGATAGTTTGCCGTAAACGCATGTTATTTTGTGTAATAAGCGTGAATTGTCGTGAATAGGACACCATGTTACACGACAGGTCACCAGCAACCAGCTGTTGATCCTTTAATATAGCGCCTTGGAATACGGGCTAACACATGTGAATTACCAATCTTTTCAACAAGAAACGAAACTATATTTAACACAAACCAGAAAATGAATCATTGATTTATTCCAAGAAAGGGAAATAAGGGAATTAGGATGTGGTCAAATTAAACGGAAATCTGGTGAGTGTTCTTAGCTACTCAATAATCCAATTCTTACTAACAATAACCCTTTAGTCCATGACTGAAAAACTGCCTTATTAATTCAAGTTAGCGTTAAAATTGAAAACAACCAGTATAAAATCTAAACAGTACACATTATTCAAAGACTAGCAAAAACCAACGATAAAAACCGACGTTTCGGTGTCATCATGACGCCATTGTCAAGGAGAAATAAAAAATAAAGTTTGTGGCAAGGTGCAACACTAAATTAGCATAGATATTGCACCTTGCCACAAACTTAATTTTTTATTTGTCCTTGACAATGGCGTCATGGTGACACCGAAAGGTCGGTTTTTATCGTTTGTTTTTGCTAGTCTTTGCATTTCTAAATCTTTATTGATAAGTACACATTATTCCAACAGAAATAATGTACGATGAGTGTTAGGTGATTTAAATGAGCTGGAGTGTATTGCTAACCATCACCAACTATCGCCAACCATTCTTAACCCTGTGAAAGCGAAATCGACACTTCTAAGGGATTGATCCCTCTCTCTTAACGACCGCAGTTTCGGCAACACAAGGTAGATCTTATTCGAAGCGTTAAACCTGAGAGCATTTCGAAATTCGTATGTTGTTTTAGGCCTAAACGGTTTCCTTTTCGTTTGTATTATTGCCACCAGGAGTTGTTTTATGGATTGTTTTAACCACACAGCCTTTTTTTTTTTTTTTTGAAGGACGTTTGGTATTGTTCTTTCCATGAAAAGCGGTCTCTAGAAATTCCAAAATTTATTTGAGTCGCTCTTTTAACGAGTGTTTATCATTATTTAGAGTTTTTGCACGTTTCCTAGCACATGTAAATTATACGAAAGCAACAATACGGATAAGCAATGCAGAAATTTGTTTCCGTTGTTTCAATCGCTGATTTTGCAAAGCCAACAGAACACCAGCCGGGTGGAATAGATTTTCATACTTTGCAAAGCAACCTGCGACATCAAATTAGCCTGTGTTTGTCCACCCTGTCACTGCGAATGAAACTATTCCGTTGACTAGAGGGAGACAATATTATACCAGCATTAGGGTATGGCCAAAAACTGCGAGCTAGTGTTTTCTGTAGACAAGGAGCGAGCATGCATTCCTCTATAAACTAAAAATATTCTTTTTACTTGCAGTATTGTTATTTTGTCTAAGTAACACATGGCAAAGGAATCTCATTGGATATCTCTCAAGAACACTATGTTCAGTACGTCTGTGGCGGTGTTCTTAACATCACTAGCTCTGCTTTTGGTAACAGGTACGTTGCTTTGAATAAGACTCACTGCTAGACTAAACTCTTACTTTCACCTCAAAGGGTTTGCATGGTTATTTCTGTAGTAGTACATATTTTAATCATGTGATTTTTCTTCAAAACATTTCAAGCATTGATTTCGCCCACGTGTACAGGACGGTAAAACCGGGAAAATTTTAATAGGGTTGCCGCCCCTTTCCCCGTTGAGCAATGGGAACTGGCCCGCAGTCACGCCTTCTTCAGCTATTGTTAACTGTTTTCACCTGTATATTGTGGTTGTTTACACTATAAAACAATGGTGACGTTTGCTGACTACGTTTTTGCTCTGTTTTAGAATCAAATGCCGCTAAAATAAAGACGTACCATGATAAACGCCAAATCTCTACCTTGGTACCATATCAGCCCCCTCAGATTACATCTCTGAACGGACGTCCACCAAGAGGACCCTACATGCAGCTTTCAAGTTATCATTACAATACAGCATATAAAAATATTGCTCAAATTCCACGAGCTAAGCCCAAATTGGCACTTCCTGGCTCACAGTATTCAAAAGTGTTTAAAGCTCAGCCTCAGAGACAGTACGTCTCTTATTATTATCCTCACCGGACTCACTACAGGGACTGGTCTCGGAAACTTCTTGAAGCTAGTGCGTTTGCGCGAAAGCTACAGGACAGTAGAAAACAAACCCTACTGTGGCAGAAACAGAGAATGGATCCGAGTAGTGCAGGGATCAAGTTGTTTGTTGCGGGCGTTAATTCCAATGGAAAAGTCCTGCAACAGTTGGCTCACCAAGGGAAAGTTCAAAACACAAACGGAAATTTTGTAACTAATAAACCCTTAAAACAAAACCTTGCTGAAAATATTCCAAATGGTCAACTTTCCGGCGCAACACGACCCATGCAGCAAAGTCCATCACCAGTTACTACTGCAAATACGAATAACAAACCGCAGAGTGGTACTGCTTTTGTTACAAGTCATCCAGTGATTCCAGCAAGTCCACCCTTACAAAGTCAAAATGCAGAGACGAACACAAAAGCTAATGAAATGTCTCCTCGTACGCAGTCAGGAAGGAAGACAGTTGGACATGACATGAATGCAAATCTTCAGTCGCAACCAGGACTTAAATTCTCCTTCAACAAAGAACCCAGTACCAATTCAAATGGCGCAATTTTGAGTGACAAGTTCGAAGGTGCTGCTTTGGGACCGAAAGCGCATTCATTACTTCAACCGATTCCCAGCTTGCAGTCGAGCCAAAGCGGCAACCTGCCACATTTCCAGGCCAACGAGAACAAACAGCCTAACGTGAGCCACACTTCTCTGGAGTCAGGAATCAACGTAAGTAATGGGTCCCCAACTAATGATTACACCTTGATGCAAGGAGAACAAAGGAATGCTCCAACTGGAAAAGATCAGAATCAACTGATTAACAAAGGTCCAGAAAATCTACTGGGAAATTCACCTTCAATACTCCAAGACAACTCACATCCGCAGACGAGTGCTTCGGATAAACCCGTGTTGGGAGGAAGTCAAGTATCGTCGAATATCCAGGAGATGAAAAGCGTGCAAGCTTCGACAAGCCCCACTTCAAATTCTGCTAATTTTGATAAAGTTACTGCTCAAGAGGTTAAGGGTGGTCTGGTGTCTGTCTCAGCTTCCGCACCGTCATCTCAGGCACTGGTCACACAACCGTCTGGTCTAAGAGTCGCACCAAACAGCAAGAACTCCTTCTTCAGTAATGACTTACCTGGAGGTTTAAGTCATGACCCGCAAACACAATTGGACAAAGAGTTGGCTTTGAAGAACCTTCTGTTTCCACCACCTGCTGCATCGAAAAATCAAGCCTATAGTACAAATCCTGTTGTCCTTTCAAATTCTGCTCAATTTCAACAGCCACAGCAGGGTCCCCGCGCGCAAGTTGACAACATGATACCTACTTTCCCAGCCTTCCGCTATGATCGAAGACATAACATTCCACAATCCCCTTCACGCATTGATAAGAAGTCGTTTGTTCCGCAAACTAACAAGGTTCCTTATAAGGGTTCGTTTCCTCTTATGTTGCACAAGTTTTCACCCTACTTCAAGATGAAACGAAATCTCAAACAAGTGGCGAGTGAAAAGGCCAAGGCCAGAAGGCGACTTCTTGAACTGCAACGTAAGTTACGTAAGATAATGTAAAGCCAACAGACTTAAAAGAGATACTTATCGTCTAAAGAAACGGAGAAAACTGTAACAGTTACCCACTGGAAACCTACTGAAATGAGCTTTTGCATTAGATCGTTACAATTAGTCAAACCCGATCTTCTGAGGTAACTAAAGAAGGGCGAACATGGTCTCACTGTTGCTGTGTTAAATACCTTACATTCGATATGTTCGAGGGCGATGGGTTCTGATAAACTCCCTGAGAACATTTGTAGAAAAAAACTTCTTCCGCTGATATATTTTGTTTGGCTTTCCATTTTATTACTATGGTTCCTACCATACTGAGTTTTTAAGTGGGGAGTGGGAACTCATAAAAGGGAAATTGCTATGTATTTCTCCATACCAGTCGGGATATTGGATTCGTCCCAAGTATCGCACTGAGTGTCCAATATGCCACAGGGATCCTACCTTAACCTGGTACATACACTCAACCTTAAATAGACATTGTGTATCTTGTGTAGCTGGCGGTTTTGCATGCGCTTTAGGTTCATTTTCGGTCCCACACCTCTCTTTGGTTTCGCCTCTCGTCGCTTTGAAGCTAGGTGGGTTAGAATGTCGGTTGCGATTGCTCATTCGTGTCGACATCAGTGTTATGCATTTCAAATGAGTTTATTTTATTTTTCACTTTTCTTTTTTCTTTTCCAGCTATCAAATGATATCTGTGAGCCACCATGTTGGGATAGTATCCTGGATGGACTCGCAGTTTGGTTTAGAAGGAAAGGGAAGCTCAGGGCAAACTCTTGTGCTCCGCCAAATGTATTCATATGTATACTGGACTTGCTACTGCCGTTTCTGAAAGGCGTTCTACTACACCGATAAATATTTTTGTGACACTAAGCGAAATAGTTGATACCCAGACTGGTATTCAATAGTAATGGTAAATATAGAAGTTAGAGGTATAAATATGAGAAGCAAAAAATGAATAGATTAGTTATCGCGGGAAGCAATATAAGGCTTCATACGGTACACAAGTTATAGAATTGGAAGTGTTCGCGCCACAATCTCAAAATAGTCACTGAACTCGTTATTCCGAAACATGTACACCATATAACTCTTCCGCAGATCGTCTTCGCAATGATTCTGCTTTGGGATAGTTTCATTAGAGTGTTTTTTGAAGGAGTGTCGTAAAACCAAAACCAAAGTAATCACAACGGCCAATCAGAAGACGGGAATTGCCTTTAAGAGCCAATGAGAACTCAGAGTAAAAACGACCAAACTGCCTAAAGCGCGGGAAAACGCGAGAAAACGCCGGCGACCAAGTGGTGATTGGTTTTAGTTTTGCATCTGATTGGTTGAGAAACGTAAGGAAGCGACAGAGGTAGCATTTACAGTCACAAGTCGCCAGGACTGATCATAGTTAAGTTTTCGAAACGTTCTTATGTCATTTTACACAAACGGATGGAAACAAACAAAAAAATACGCTTCAACATTCTGTAAGTACAAGGAGCATAAACAGGATCGAAGAGATTTTAAACGTCCTTAACTAACAGCTTTGATTGAACTTGAAAAGTGTAATTAGAATAAACAGTTTAATGAATGTGTAAATAAATACTTTTTCGTTACATATCTGAGAAGGTGAGCGTTGACTACGTTATTTGCAACCACTGCAAAGTAAAGTTAGAGTTAGATCACTTTAAAGCTATAGCATCTCTCCAGTGTTTATCACAGGCTGCTTGTATTATTGCTATTCACAAGATGCTTACCACGGTAACTTTTTACCTTTCCTTTTTGGGACCGGTCATTATTTTTCGCCAGGGGGAGGAGAATTTGAGGATTTTGGTTGTGTCACCCCCATAAGCTTTAATGTAATCCCCCCATTGGCGAAGACTGACCCCTCCTTCTTGCCTGATTAAAAACATTTGATCCTCCAATCCCAGGCTACAAACGATGACTGATTCCTGAAGACGAAACGATACTGACAGTTAAAGATACTCTTTTCGTAGAGTTGAAAGCTAATCAAGTTTGAAGGGAAGGCAGCCTACACGACAGTGAAAGTCTATGAGTGACGGTCATCCACTAGGAATAGTTCATGAGACTTAATCTTGAAAGGGAGCAGAACAGCTAAAGAAAAGCTCAAAGGATGAAAGGTATGTTTGAAATGTAAGGTTAGCAATTTTCTTAAAAGCTAGACGTAAATTTTATAGTATTGTGATCAGATAGTGGAAAAATAAGATTCACATGTGAACCTAATAAATTCCCTGCTCGCTGATAAGGCTCTATGGCTCAGTGCTCGTGCATTGTAGCGCGGAATACGAAGTTCTGATTTTCGATATGTCATGGAGGCTCATAACTTTTTCATTGCCCCGCTCTCGTGAAGAAACGATAAAACATCTTTCTTTAAGATACACCTGTCTTTAGACCATATTTTGACAAAGCCTTCTGGAAATTAAAAAACACCTTCAATTTTTGTGCCGAAACATGTATAAATCGCTAGGTTGAGACATGCTTCCAAATTGTTTGTACTGCGCTTGTTTTAATACTTGAATGCACTATGTGATAACTTGCTTTACCTTTATCAATACGAGACACTCCCTCCTGCTACAACATCAGTTATTGTGGCATTACTTGTGCCTATTTCTTCCGTTGTAAATCCCAAGCCTTGATGATAGTTATTGGTCTGAAGATCTCTGAACAAATATACACTTCAGACCTTGTATCGGGTAAACAGATCATACGATCGAACTATTAAGGGGTTAAGCAAACGGGTGAATGAAGATACAAATGAGAAAACTAAATTAATATGGTTAAAATAAACAGTCTTGAAGTCTAAAATTCCCCTAAAATGGGGTCAAGACGATTCCAGCCAGATATCATTTTGTGGACGTTTAAAATCGCCTACTCGGACGCGTCTATCAGTTAATGAAACGTAGGCAATTTGAGTTATAACCATTGAAACATTGTTTTAAATAAAGTTTTGAATACTGCTAGCTTTTATTAAATACTGATATCCGGTTTTTCTCAATCAAGTGCCTTGAACGGTTCGTTTATTTAGTACATGACATCATGTGTTTTAACAGTTCATGTGTGTTCCAAGCTCTCACAACAATCGAAAGACCTGCTCTGACTGGAATGTGTTGACACACAGCACAGCTGTTGGTGTACGTGTGACCAAACAACTTGAATAGACGTAAACTACCCCAAATTTAAATTAACGGTGCAGAACATGACCGCTACAAAATTTTGAACCGTCTAATCCACCAATCTAATCGTTACTTAACTCATTGCATCGAATGTCTACATTTCTCCTGATAAACTGTTTTACTTCTTCATATGTCACCAGCAAAATTAAAGGGCGGAAAATTGCCCTATTGTTTTCAATGTAGTTTTAAAAATGTCAATGCGTTTGTAAGTAAAGCAAAAACATGAAAGTTACTTGACCCATCTCCAGACACTCTTCCTTCAGGAGACATACGTACCAATGTTTTCTCGTTAGCTATAACGTCAAGGAACGAAAACTGGATCAATTGCTCGTCGAGGATATAAGCGTTTCCATCTACGTAAATTTGCTAGCTATGATCCCTTGATAATGTTTGTTTATTTGCTGTACGCTGATAAATAGAGTGGAAGGATAGTGCCAATCAGCGATCAACGGTCTGCAGGAGGCCGTCATCTCTGGCGCGAACGATAGGCTGGCGTTTTCCCGCCTTTTTCTGTTGTGATTGTGTTGTTCACTCACAAGCATGTGGTCGTTTGTTGGGACATTCTGTGATGTTTAGGTAACCTTTGCATAATTAACAAGTTTGAAAACAAGAAGTTGGAGAGAGAAGGAGAGGTATTTTCCTGCGGAGGAGAAATCTAAAATGACAACGTGCTAAGGTTAGTAGTAGATGAAAACTTTGCAAAGTTGATTAAAGATGGAAATAAGGGGATGGAACATTTTTTTGTCAGAGCAGAATTGGGTATCTTTAGCTTTCACATGTTTGTCTTTTTTGTTTTTGTTTAGTTTTGTTTCGTTTTTTAAGGGAAAAGTGACCCTTGACCATGAACAGTTGAACAACTAATGGTTTCCATGTCAATTTCTCTTCATGCCTTGCATTTTTTTCTACTTTTTCTCAAACTGTAAAATGTTCGGTCCCGGGACATGCAATCTTGATGGAAATCTCCTAGAGGTGTCAAGAACTCAATCGAATTTTCACAGTCGGTAAATTATTCACACGACCTGTGGTTTTGGGAAACTAAATGACATAACCAAATGCAAATGTGATGTTGTAATGACGGCTGACCTAGGAAATCTGCAATCTATTCCAAAATCGCTTGCGATTACAAAACTTAGTCGAATTACTCGCCGAATTTCCTAAGAAAAGCGGAAAGAAAAAAAATTCGCTCATGTGGTAAAAAGGGAAAATCAAATTTGTTTCAAGCACGAGGTGTGCCTCAGGAATTAAAACCCGTATAAAGCCTTGATTGTCAGACGGGTAAGTGTTGACAGAAAATTTTCTTATTTACCTCTTGATGTACAGCGTATCTCCTGGAAGGTGGATATCATATGGCTAAACTAAGACCAGGCAAATGTTTCATTTAAACCCTTGGGTTTCTTGAAATATGGTTGATGTTGCATTTGGTTTTGCTATTACTAGAGGAACTGGGATGCAAAAGTTCAATTTTAAAAGTTAGGTAAGGTCAACTAGTTCTGTGTGTAGTTGGTCTTGCATAATGACTGGAATTAAAGTATTGATTTTCAGTTTTGAGGGTTTAGAATTAACTTCTGGTAAATAATTTTCAGTGATAAAGTCAATGCATTCAGGCCGATTTTGAACTTTTTTGGAAGTATATTTAATTCTTCACTTCAGTTGTTAGTACAGATACCTGCGGAGTATTTTGATTTTGCTCTAACCTTTGACTATAAAGTTTAGAACAAGATTAAGAACTTACTTTACTGATATCCACAGTGTGTACTGACTCACCAACCTTTAGTGCGTTGGTTTTGCGGCTTTTGTATTTCTTCACAGATATTATCTACCACTGATTATTTTATCATTTTTCTAAAAGTTCCTAGTTCATTTATGCCCCGAATCTTTTCATAATCAATATATATTGACTGCACTTGACGGTGTACATAGAAAGCCATGTTATCGATGGTGCTATAGGCCATTTTTTTATGTAGATGACAACTGGGGAAAAACGTGAAAGAACAATTGACTGAGACTATTCTTAGTTTAGATACTGTTGATACCTTTGAAAAAATAAGGCCGTTAGCCAGCTCTCAGAATAAGTTTTCTTTTAATTGTTTTAAATTTCAATGATACTTTCTTCAGCCTAGGCAGCGTAATGGTGGTGAAAATTATCTCTATAATATTTCAATTTTTTAACAAGTTCACGAGTAGATAACTAGAGGACTTTTCATTCTGCTCTTATTTGTTGTGAGGCTATATTTGGACTATTTGCAAGTACGGCCAACGTCAAGGCGGACACTGAATCATCTTCAAGTTTAGTCTTTTCATCATCACATCATGTCAAATACAATCTTAGCAAATTTTATCGCTTTGTTTCTCAACAGTAAATTCTCTTTAGTTCCACTTCCTCTTTCCTTTACTTTCTCTCTGTTCTTTTTTTTTTCTTCTTTCAATCAATGTACTCCAGAAGTGTCATGCATTTTTCCAGTGAGACGCTCGGGCAAAGCCGCCAGGTTGAGATCATACTAGATTCAATTCTTAGCACCTTCTTTTAATCGAGGCTATTTTGTTTTGCGGGAATGACGACAGAGCGGGTAGTAAATCTTTGTTGAACAAAATTAAACGGCATTTTAATGCCAGTTTTCGTGATCTGCTCGGTCAATTTGTGGCAAGAGGCTAGTACTAAACATCGTGTCTCGGGTGATGTTGTATGTTGTGTCTTTTATCAGATTCAGCCTTTGTTAGGTAAAGGTATTGAACGAACCTCCCTTGAATCATTACAACAAACATTATGGTTGATATGAGATTAAAAAACTTGATCTACAATAACAAAGACGGCTTTTCCTAGGCTTTTCATAGATGATTTCCAATTTCCCTTCTTAATTACCGTAAAAGATCTTAGTGACTCATAACTTGAGTCCGGGGCTTCAGAAAATGCACATCTTTTGGAGATATGTTCCACAACTTTTCGTTTTTTCTCGGAATAGCTGGCCTACTGTGAACGATTTTTTGAGTAGTCTAATTTATGTCTTTGTTTATTTTCTCAGGTCGCCACCAACTCAGTTATGGGTTTTCGTTTTGTACTATTAATTATATCATTAGTAACTTTATCAAGAGCGAAAGGTAAGTTAAAGCATAAACAGTCCGTTTTCTCAGAACTAAAAATTATGAATAACTACTCTTCGGTGGAGTATTTTCAGCCCTGTAGCTTAGTGGCCATTCCTGTAGCTTAGTGGCCATTCCTGTAGCTTAGTGGCCATTTTTTTCCGTTTCACTCGTTCGTCTAACAGGTTGCTTTTGGGCTGGAAACGAACAATTTGGTTTAAAAAAGGATAAAAAAAGAAAACAACTATGAGCCCATGCATCTTTCGAGTACACCTTATTTAACTTCTTGTGTTTCTAGTCTTTAAGGGCTCCTACTTTCTGTCGGAATTTGCCGACCTTGGCGTCCGGGTCAACAAATTCAATGAAACTTTCAGAACATATTAGTTAATTCCTAATAGTGAACATACTATGCATCGTCTGATTAGTCAATTCAGTTTCGAAGGGGATGCGTTATCAGGTTATAAACAAATATCCCCAGTATACTTATAGCATTTTGAATTGACCTAATCGGTCCGTTCCTTGTGACTAATTGTAAATTACCTAAGTGAAGGATTATGGTGAAAATCCTAAGTAATGGGTATTTTACACTGACGATTAACGACTTTGATATTCAAAGCTCAATGCAGAATCAGCGTCTATCAGGGACTAGATTGCACAGTATGATAATCAAGAGGAATGGACATATTTTCTCTTTCTCGGCGCTGCCTGATTTCATTTAGAGAGCTTGCTTAAGTTCTTCACAGACACCTTGGTTTCAGCGCTAAACCCCGGTTTGATATTTCGAATCACGTTTATCCGTGATACTACAACTTCAGTGAACAAAAAGAATGTGTAATATTATTGCCGTAAAGCATGAACAACATATATCTGCGCTTGGACTTAACGTTCTCGCCGCAAAAAAATATGCCAATATCACGAAATAAATATTGATCCATATAACAAATTTGCAGCAGTTTTCTCAAGATATATATTGTTCATAAACGACCGATTAATTTTCATAAGCATGTAAAGAAAACTTCATCCAGTTTCACACCCACAAGGTTAAATTGAGAAGTAAAAAAAAATCATATCATTAATGTAAGAAATTCAATCCCTTTTCTACCTTTCCATTTAAGAAAATAGATATCCTAATAGTACCTGCATACTTTGCTTAATACTTTGCATTATATAACTTGAGACATCCTAACCTCCTGATGTCTGTTTGCCTAAGCTATAACGCTTGTTAAGTAAGGGTTACTAATAGTCACACTGATAAACTAACTTTCAGACCTACGGCCGTCGGCGTCTCAGGCTGTTGACCGTCGAAGCGCTCCTGATGCTCTTCTCGGGGAGATCTTTAACGATCCAAGTGCGACGAGTTTAACAAAACTCAACCTTGAAGATAGTGACAATGACAATGACGACTTTTCAGGTTCGGGTTCGGAACTGTGGTCGGGTTCGGGTGAGTTGCCGAAGCCTTCCGAAGACACAACCACACAGAATCAAACAGACAGCCAACATGAGCAAGCGACTGAGACTCTGTCGCAAACACTCGCGACTTCTGATACGACGGGCACCGAAAAGTCTAACAACTCTAATGACACCACTGACATGAAAGACAATAACAACAGTACAGACCCATCAGCTGCTACTTCTGACAATTCTGACGATACTAACACAGTGAATCCTTCTACCGCAGCACAAACTGCTCATCAACAAAGTTCGACGGACGCGTCCTTGACGTCACCGAATGTGACGTCACAGGGTGCAGACGCAAAGTTACCCTCTACTGAGGATCAGAGTCAAAATACAGTAGTCCAGACAGAGGAAAATGACAAAACATCCAATGACAAGTCGAACGCTGAATTTTTGCCAGCACAAACTCAAAATACTTTGGAAACAGTTCCTGATAACTCACCTGCTGCCCTGGTTGGGCAACAGTCGCCTGGCTTCGATGATAATTCGTTATATGACCCTACGATAGTGAAGAAAACCGATGTTCCCGTTGGTCCGGATATGTTTTCTAATCCTTTAGGTAAGATAGAGGTATAGCCTATTTTCAAGTTTAACCTTAGAATGTTCTTTATGAAGAGTTTATCGATTGTGATAAGAATTATCAAACTAAAAGTATAATTTTACAATCAATAAAAACTAACTCTAATTCAAAAGAAAGCAGTGAGAACCCAAGCTAAAATAATTGTAACAATCAGTTTGTTATAAAACTCAATGTCAATAACAGTAAGTAGACCGCCGTCGGAAATTTTTAAAAAGTGAATTTTCGAGTGTTAGCCTTTTAATTGTGAGCAGTTCTCCAGTGGAAGTCCCACATTAATCTTTCTACCTTTTGAGATGTATAGAGTTATCACACTTTGTTTTTATTCGTGTTGTAACTGTTCTTCTACAGTTAACAATACAGCAGACATTCAAGGAGCATTACGGTCGGCCATCTCTCAAGCTCCTGTGCCTGCTCTCCAGGCTCCAGCCGTTCGAAAGTCGGCAGTGCCGTACAGAGGTTCGTTTCCACTTCAGCTTCACAAGTATTCACCGTATTCAAAGCTGATGAAGAAGAACATGATTGAGAAGGCAAAAGCAGGTTGGTAGAGGAGCGACTTAAATCGATATGCGGATAGTTTCTAAAGATTTGTACATTGTACAGGTGGAAGAACAATAGGTCACGTAGTCCCCTTCTCGGTTCATCCATTTAAACCCAACCCACCCATCCCACCCCGGGGAAGGTCATCCATCACACAGTAATCTCGTGTGTGGGAAATTAACGTCTCCTACCCCTCCTGCAGGAGAGGGGACCTCCATTTATTCGTCCCTATCCGAGAAGACTAGAATATCTAACCATTTCTTGATGTTATAGAAAGGAAGCATATTCTTCTCAATTATTTTAAGACCTTGAGTGTTGGTCCGGCCGGGGCTCGAACACTCGACCTCCCGCACAACAGTCCAGCGATCTATCCATTGAGTTAACTGGCAGGCGGATATTTTCCGAAGTCAAAACGAGATGAAAGAATACTTAGGTTTTTAAATTAAAATTTCGTCATGAGGAACATCATAGTCAGCAAAAGGTGGCCCTTTCACTTCTACTATTTGTCTGTCATGTAATGAATATTTGTTGACGTTCAGATTTAGAGGTTCAAGTTATCATGTAATTTTCCACTTATGCTTGCATCAGCGTCAAATTCAAAGTTGGTTAAATTCGCGTTGGTTGCCTGTTTGATCGTTTTTTTGACCTGGAATGGTTACGAATGTTTCTTTAACCAGGCTCAAACCTAGACGCTGGAAAGAAGTCAGTGATAACCGGCCTTACCGACGCCGGTGGTCTGCGTCCTTTGTCAGTAAACCTTCCTCAGGCGCCGCAGCAGCAACAAGATGCAACAAACACTCAGGGTTATCCTCAGCCTCAGGCGCAGGCTCCTGCAATGGATGTTAATCCAGCGCAAATGACGTTTGGAGACCAACCACAAGCCCCTCTAGCAGCACAGCCTTTTGCCCCAGTTCCTACTGAATCTCAAACATTGGCAAACCAGGCCCCAGCTGAAGTTCAGCTTCAGAACCCCCAGCAGGCACTCGACCAGGCTCAAGGAGGTGTTCCCCAAGCTCCGGAGCAAGCCTTTGCCCCTCAGGTGGCAGATCCGTCTAATATGCAAATGCAAAGTCCAGAAAACGTTGCTGCTGCCTTTCCAATGAGTAAGAAAGCCTTATGACTTTTCCTAGTTCGTAATGGATCCTACATCATCATAGCTGGAACAAATATTGGGACAAATAGGCTTTTAAATTATCTGTAATAGATATCTTTGGTAGACTTTGTTCAATAGCATAGACCATCTGCTGAGACTTAAAGCTACAGCATGCAGTCAAATGAACAACTTTAGAATAAGTTAATAGTAACAATATCATCCTAATTCCTTTCGTTTAAGCTGTTTATGTTCCTGCTTAGATTTTTGTAAAGTTCGAAATGATACCTTAATTGCATAGATGCCACAATGCCCGACACAATGGTAGGTGCCCTACCTCAGCAAACTCCTGGAATTCCCGCCCAGGGTGTCCAGGCTGTACCAGTATACCAGGGACTTCAACCCAAGAAACCAGTGATAGAAGAAGGTATTTTTTCTAAGAAAAATAAATGAAGATAATGATACTAGAATCAGAAGGTTGATGAAACGCTTAGAGATTTGAATGAAATTGAAGAAAATGAGAGCTATTCATCATAAGTTTGTTTTGCGGCCTTGCATAATTCCACTGTTTTATGTCTATTTTATTTGCCAGTGGTAACCTTGACAGTATTTTCCATTTTTTGTCTCAACAGAAGACTGTGATGATCAGTTTGATACTTGTCCTGAGATGGCTAAAAATGATTACTGCACAAAGTACCCAGACCTAATGAAGATTCAGTGCAAAAAGTCTTGTCATTTCTGTGGTAAGCATATACGCGTTTACGATATAATGATGACCCCCCTATGGGTCATGAGTTTATCTTCACAAGTAAATTAGGGTTGAAGCCAAGTAACTGCAGAGGAATTTAGGGTTAGAAGGAGCTAGAACCCGTGCCTTCCAGGTACCGGTTGGATGCTCTTGGCGAAACAGTTACGAAGCCACATTTTGAGCGCGAGAACTCTGTTTTGCAAGCGTTCCGTTTGTCTCCACATTTCCATATGTTGTTTCATTTTTTTCATTGGTATTTGATTACTGAAGAGTCAAATTGGCACTCTTTGACATTACATGTACTTTACTAAGAAGCTTCTGTTAATGTTGAATTTATCCTTGTCATGTGCAGAGATCAAGCACAGCAGTGACGGGTCTGGTTCGGGATACGACGAATACGATTCAGGGTCAGCAAGTTTATATTATGCTGATGAAGTCGATTCCGGCTCCGGCTCGAGCGACTGGGATGACGATAGCGACGATGGTTAGTTCTCAGCTCTCAAAGATTATCTTACTAAAGTAAATCCTAAATGGCCGCGAAGAAGCCAGGTTTTAAGGGAAATAACTATTGGTTTATGCATTGCATAAATAATGAAGATCATTGGAGAAGGGAAGGCGGTGCACCGCGTCTACGTGTTACGTGAAACGGAAAACGTCAGCTTGCACTTTCACGCTTCGCTTAAATAGCATAAACCTTACTGCTGCGCGTGAGGTCACGTCACTTCGGGTTTCAATGAAGCCGTCTCACGAGTCAATGTGAGTTCTTGCAGCTGCTGACGAAAAGTGCGGAATTTGAAGGATTTTAAACATGAAATTTCATCTGCCCCCGTGTAACCTATAGGAATTAACAAATGGTAAACACCACAGCGTACACTATTGAGTTATGGATGCACGCGGAAGGTTGCTAAGCACGAAAGAAGCGTAAGAGTCGCGTGAGGAGATAGCCGAGAGCGACTCTAGCTTCTAGAGTGCTTAGCAAACCTCCCAAGTGCATCCATAACTCAATAGTGTACACTGTGGCGTTTACCATTTGTCTCATAACATAACATTGATACATTGTAGCAGTTTTCTTTTATTTAACAAATCTTACGTGACCAGAAAAAACAAGCGCGCTCGGAAATCTAGTCTTTGCATTTGCTCACGTCAGCAGCGTACACCCATAGGCAAATGGTGGACACTGAATTGATCAATCAGAGCGCGCGCTTTACTTTGGTTATGTTATAAATATTTTTGCTGCGACTTTTTCCGGCAACTAATTTCTTCTCTGACGGCAAAGCGCAACCGGCAAACGTAAAAAATGGCGGGAAAATCGTGATCACGTGGTCACTCTTGCCGTTAATGTTTCACGTAAACGCGGTGCTAAATCTCTATTATCACGGGATTCCGTGATTGTGCTTTATTCGTATTTTGGACCGCCGTGATTTGTGATTGAATGACAGAAACAACATTTAAAATATGAGGCACTCCACAATCTAGATAGGCTTGTGTTGCACAGAACTGGTGACAACAACTATCGACTTTCCTGTAAATTTCCAAATAATGACGATGTATCATTCTCCCACAGATGAAGATCCAGGATATAAAAAGTCGGGGATTCCTGCACCAATCCACAAGGTATTGATGGCAAAATTTGCAGCAGACTCTGGCTCTGCCTCGGGCGCGTCCGGAATGGGCGAGTCTTCAGTGTCAGATGACGACTTACAGACCTCTGGTAGCGCTGAGGCCGGGTCAGGCTCCCAGAAGAAAGATGAGGTCAGTGAGGCCGTATCTGGATCTGGTGAAGCACTACCTGTTGCAGTAGCATCGCCCACTCCCGGGGCATCTGAAATTGGCTCAGGTTCTGGAAGTCTAGCCGAAGGTATGCATTTATTTCTGTTTAATGGTTTGTTCAGCCTTTCCACTTTTTTGGTTTTTATGCTACGTTTAAAATCATGGATAATACTTCGTGTTATCAAACCTAGAATATAGTTGGACTTAAAACAGTGAGGACACTTTCCGAAGCTGAACTAACATCTCTTTTCTCGTGCTTCTTTCGTCGATTTTTTCCTATCTATCGATCGACTTGCATAGTGGGTCATCTTTCTTTAATCTTCAACAACAGATCTTGCGACTGGCACTGTAAGCAGAGCTAATGAAAAACATAGCTCGATTCCACGACCTCCGGTTCAACAAGTTTCAGTCTATCCAAAGATTGACCTAAAAGAAATCGCAAAGGCTGTTAATACGTATCGAGGTGTTGCGCTGAAAATGCTCGGCGAGGCCCTGGAGGGTGCTGCAGAGCAAAAAGAGGAAGAGCTATCTAAGAAATCTCACATTCCACTTCCACCTGCTACCGACATCTTGCAGCGGATGGGTTTTCCGATAGGGTATGATGAAAGCTCCAAGAGGAACATGGTTCCAAACCCGATCCAAGATCCCAATATGATGATGGCTCCCAATTATGGAATGATGGGTCTTGGTAACAACGGATATGCGTACAATTTCCCCCAGCAAGTTGGAAACGAGCCTCTGGCAGATTTTTATGCCCAGTACCAACAGCAACCAAACTTTGCGAGGTCGGATGTCATGGCTTCTCCTGAAGAACAAGAGGAAGAACCACAAAATGAGGACGAAGGTGCTGCTCAGGCCGATCAGTCTGAGACCACACAACCAGAAAATGAGCAGCAGCAGGAGAATACCACTGAGGCGGAGAAACAGGTAGAAATAAAGATCAATTACTTTCGATTCGTCAGTTAGTCCATCGAAAAAGCTTTATAACATAACCACAGTAAAGCGCGCGCTCTGATTGGACAATTTAGCGTTCCCCATTTGCCCATGGGTGTACGCTGCTAACGTGAGCAAATGCAAAGACTTTTTCCGCGCGCGCTTGATTTTTCTGGTCTCGTAAGATTTGTTAAATAAAAGGGAACTCTTTAGCTACAATGTATCAATGTTATGTTATAAAACAAATGGTAAACACCACACCGTACACTATTGAGTTATGGATGCACTTGGGAGGTTTGCTAAGCACTCAAGAAGCTAGAGTCGCTCTCGGCTATCGCCTCGAGCGACTCTTACACTTCTTTCGTGCTTAGCAACCTCCCGCGTGCATCCATAACTCAATAGTGTACACTTTGGTGTTTATCATTTGTTAAATTGTAAGAACTACATGACGATTCAACCTGAATTTTAAAGTCGTCTTTTTAACTCCGTTTTAATCTTCACGCTCCCTAACTCAGCTGTCCGCGTTCCTTTTGATTGCTCGTCGTCCTTTGTAATTTTTAAAAACTGTTCCAACTTGTTGCAATTTTTATGGCAAGGGAGAAACATCGCGACCAAACTCCTTTAAATACACTACAGGTAATATAATTAAATTAATGTAGTGATTTGCATTTAAAACAAGTTGATATTAGCCCGATAATGATAGGGTGACAAACGTGGAAACTAGTCCTGGTTAGCTGTATCATAGACGATTTGTAATGGGTCCAGAAAATGGAAACCAATGCCGACTTGGTCACTACCACACCGAAGGCCGGTACAGATGGATGTTTAGTTTTAGTTTTTATTGACAGTTAGTGGTCTTAACCTTTGTTTGGAAAGCACTCTGCATGTTTATCACGGTTCCTAAACTTCGGGAGTACCTATTCGTATTTTTCTCTCTCTCTTCCTTTGATAGGATAAGCCCGAAACGCCGAAAAATAACACCGATGAAAAGGATAAAAAAGATGAGATTGTAGATCCTTTTGAATACGTACGAAATATGGGCAAAGGAGCATCTATGGAGCCTATTCGTTCTAAGGCTGCCTCTGGTTTGATTTCCGCATCTCATTCAGATCCTCTCATCTTATGGAAAAGTTCTCAAATCGAAAAGCTCGCCGCTATAGCGAAAAAGAAGAGCGAAATACCACAGCCAGGTAAGAAAAAATAAATAATTTATCAATTCTAATAATCATAATGTAGTATCATCCAAGTTTCAAAGATGGACTGAATGTCCCTTTCTCGCGCAAATTGCAGCCTTTTCTAAAGGTTTTTGTCATTCACTTTTTCTCCTCTTGGAGTGATATCGGATGAATTGTATGTCATATCCTTCAGCATGGCAATTTGTTGAAACATTGCTCTCCCTTTTCCGCCGTGTGTATAGTTCCTGGAGACACAATAAAACGCCAAGTAATGCTTAAGATCACAAAGTCAGAAGAATTAGCAATACGACCCCTAGTCCCATCAGAAACGAGCCAGAGTTAGACTGCCATTCTGGCCTGTATGTAGAACGCGATAGACTGGAGTAACAGTACTTATGCATGTTTTGAGCTCAGGACTGAGAGCTTCAATGGCATCTTATTCCTTCAGGAAGTCAAACTTTGATGCCTGCAGGCAGTGACTCGCAGTTTGAGCAAGAAGTCCTCCAGTCTCCTGAGCAGCAGTTCAGATCGGACATTCCTGAACAAAATATGACAATGGCTGGTCTACCAGACATGTCAGGGCAAACCGCTTCAGCCTTCCCACAATACATGCGTCAGAGTGAAGCTTTGACACAAAGTCCCACGGACGAGCTTGCAGCAAGTGAGTCTATAATCAGAAAATAATGGATCATTCAAAAACACTACAAAGAATTGATCATGTAACTGATAACACGGCGTGTATCTCTATAGTTTCTGATCTAATGTTCAGGTCCGGCTAAAGGGTTTGGGTATTTAGGTATCCGAGGTCTTTTTCACTCAGGTATACGCAAGTTTCGTATCACACTATGGGTCATATTTAACTAGATTTTTATGAGTGTTTTCTATTTGGTATAAACCAACACTCTGGGCCGTTTTAAGTACTAGGTATTTAACTTTTTTCAAGTTCAAGGTATATTGAGGAGAAAATAGGATATATCTTTGTTCCACTCCCCCACCCATCACCCTTCCCCACCTCTCATCCTCCCCCTCACCCTCTCCTCTGGCCGACTGGGCCTGGGTATTATCTACCAGCTAAACTTTCTAAATACGGTGGTAGAATGAAAGAGGTTTCCTGTAAGTTAAGAATCCCACTGATTCCACCTAAATTTAGTTCTCCTCTTGTTTTAACAGGAAGTCAGATCCTTCAAAACCAGCCCCTACCGTCACTTGAACAACCACAACAACAACAAGGTAAGTAAACATATGTTGTTCAGAAGCTTCAGATAAGTTTCTTTATGTTTCTATGTACAAAGTATTTATGCCCTTTAGTTGATAGTCTCCAGATTCAAGATCAAACTCCAAACATCAAAATTCGGGTCTCAAACTTCTGAAAATAAATCACAGCTTTTAATTATCTAATTTACGACTGACTGTGACTGTTATCAATTTGTCAACTGAACATGAAATAAAATGTTATCAACTGTTGATAAGTAGGATAAAGCGACTTCTTCGATCGACAGTGAACTCGTGTTCAACGAAAACAACATCAAGTCATGACTCACGCGCGGCTCCGCTCTTAAAATATAATCGCTCTTCATTGCTTGATTTTCTTACTCTGTTCCCAAGCTTGCTCAAGTAAAATTAGCTTAAAGTAAAAAATTTCAGCTGTTTCCCGGCTGATTGCTCTGACTCGGCTGCTATTTGCTTACTAACAGACGCATGCCAAGAATGCAACCGTATGTGCATAATCACCTCCACAGACAAGTAATTTTTTTTTTTTTAAAGTCGCCAGCACAACTAACCTAAGCACTAACACGAACTGAACCACCACCACCTTGACAACAACAACAGTCACAACGTATTCTAACCCCTCACGCCGTTTGTGGTTTATCTCGCATTTTTTCTTTAATAGTAAAGGAGCACTGTGCCTGTTACCTTCTGTAAAACATGAAACTTATGCCTTCTTCACCAGGACATATCTCACAACGGAACTTTTACTACTTTCAAAAGCCCACCTTTAGTCACTTAACGGTGTAAACTTTGTTCTCCTCTGCTACATCATTCGATCCTCCAAATTTTTCTATCTGCCCCGTGTGCACACATTTTAATCATACTGACGCCGAGGATTTTCTTACCACTGAATGAAAGCGTATTTGAACTAAATACATTACTTAAAGAGTGATCATGAAATTTCTTACACAGTGACTTACAATACCGTTTATGTTCGCCTCGTATACTGTAAGCTTGGCGAAAGGAGCGCTCGCATGTTCAAGAAATGTTTTCATCTCACGATTAAGACTACCTTTACTTTGCTGCATCGAGGAATGGAAGCCTGCAAGTTTAAGACCAGAGAACGCTTGCAACCTCAGAAGAAAAAGGAGAAATTGCCACTAGACTCGGATTTAACCGTGAAACGGTGTTGCGCCAAAAGCATTGCGATTCGGAGAGGTTCGATATCCTTCTTATCAACAGAGTAAGAGTAAAAACGTTTGAATTTCGAGTTTTGTTTGTTACGCAAGACCGCTTCTAACATCAGGTCTCCATTTTTCTGACAACCAACAGGCGAGCAAGAAAGCAGCCTGAGAGAGTTAAGAAGTTACTTTCCCGAGGACGAGTAACTCTGGGTCAAAATGGAGTCAGCCTTAACTCTGACATGGTCGAGAATATAACCAAGCTAAGCTAGCAATCCCGCCGTCAGCGATACAGTATACGACGGACAACATTACATGACCACATCAACTGATTCTAACATTAATATTACATGCAGATACAGATCAAATTTGTGCAAAGAAAGATTACGGGAAGGGGAAAATCAATTTCTTATAGTGATGATAGAGACACATAACTGTCTATCATTTAACAATGTTAATTCTTCCTTTTAAAATTTTCAATAAAGGGAGTAACATTCTCAAATACCCTTTTCCTTGACACTTTATAGTTGATTATGTCAGCGAGGAGGTAAAAAACTTCATGGTTACGTCGTTTCGAATAGTGAGTAGGATCTAGCATTAGAAAATGTTGTCCAACAAGAGAATACTTTCCCACTCCCTTTGTTAGCTTTCCTAGAAATTTATCGCTTCATGAAGGGAAGTTGAGGTGCTGACCAAATTGTCATGAGGCTTGCCTACTGATAATTCGGCCTTTTGCGGCTTAAGATTTGTGAAGGAAAATTGTCAGAATTCTTCTGAGGAATGTTTATAAGTTGCCAAAAAACTAATTCAAAGTAGACCACTGGTCTGTGAAAGATTCTATTGTCTCCGTTCCATGTCATCTCATACGGAAACTGTTCAGTTACGTGTGCCCACTGGAATGAAAGATAGTTCTTATAAGTTAAAAAAAGAATTACAAAAGAGAGTAAAATGGTATGGAATGGTTTGGGATATCCCCAAACTGTGATCTTTCCTTGCACTAATTCGAGTTGACCGTGAACGTGGAAACATTTTTGACTTCCTTGACAAGCGCACTTTCTTCATTTATAGTTTTCATTGATTCTGAGGTCGGACAAAAAAAAAATCATTTTAAAAATTAAAATTCTCCACTCAATTTCTTTGCTGCTTGTTTTTATACTAAAACGAAGCTAGGAATGTTGCATGATTCAGTTTTCACATCACAAGGTTGGTTTTACACACCATGGAAGGCATGTAGATTTGTAAAAAGGGCACACATTAGTTGTAAATACCTCGTAATGTCATACTGTAAGCGAACAAAAGAGCATTGCGCGCTGCGCGGGGAATGGAATCGTTTTTCCTGTACCGCACTATTGTAATTTATTTTAACTATCCAATGGGAAGACGTTTTCAGTTGCCAATATTTTGGTCTCATTTTTACTTTATGTATAGGCATATCAAACAGAAAATTGTACTCTTGTTGTTGTTCAACATCGACACTTATAGGTATTTGGTTGAAATAAAGCGGTAGGTTTTGTGTTATGAAATGGGGGAAATTTTGTTGTATGATCAGCTAAGTACAATTAGTCAATACACAAATGATTTATTAAAAAGAAAACAACGCTGAGAGTAAATAGGCTGTCGGGTATTTAGTAAAACAGCACCTGTATGTTCCTTCCTTTAAACACCATTCACGCTTATCTGGGAAACGACTCATCAGTAACCTTGGTAACGCAAACGTAACATTCAAACACTCAAGGGCGTAGCATTGCTCTAACCAGAAAACAACTGACAGCCGCTTCAGAAGAAATTGCAACCCGAAGAACCTTTTTACCCTAACCAAGTTAATTATTTTACACTTTTTTTTTGTCTCAGTCAGTAGTTGCTTACATATCCTGTAATAAGTTAGTTGATATTATGCTTTGGAGCTGTTATTGTGAAAGTTATGGCTTGATGCTTGTTTATTCTTGACTTTAATGACGGACGGTTTGACCAGATCCTGAAATTTTGATTCGAACTTACTAAGAGAGATAGTAGCCATCAGTCTTAACTTACGTATGATGCACGATCCTTCCCAGTAGATAGCGCTATTTATGCAATAGCGAAAATCAGACCTGAAAAAAATCAGGCCTGTACGGGATTCGAACCACTGACCTCTGCGATACTAGTGCAGCGCTCTACCAATTGAGCTAACAAGCCAACTGGGAGAAGGCCGTTAAGTTGATTCGTAATAAACCCGTGATGATAAATCAGATACAATGAATATATGAAGTTCATATATTTTGAACTGCGGTATTAAATACGTATGATGCACGATCCTTCGCAGTAGACAGCGCTATTTATGCAATAGCGAAAATCAGACCTGAAAAAAATCAGGCCTGTACGGGATTCGAACCACTGACCTCTGCGATACTAGTGCAGCGCTCTACCAATTGAGCTAACAAGCCAACTGGGAGCTGATTTTTTTCAGGTCTGATTTTCGCTATTGCATAAATAGCGCT